AAAAATAGATACCTTATGTGGGATCAAGTTCATCTTTCTAGAAAGCCAAAATGAGACATGCCAATCGCATTTTACAGTCTCGTACCATGCGAAACGGTCGACATTTGTAGCGCCCGTTCCGTCGTGGCGCCTAGCGGGAAAACTATCTCTTAAAAACTCTATTTGTGAAATCTGTTTCTTTGCTTGTTGTCTAGTGTCCGTGCCATCTCAGATCTCAAATCCCCGATCTATCGCCGAGTTCAATCCCGAATCCAAATCCTTCCCAAATCAATTCCTCCGCAAAAGTCTAATTTGCCTCCCCGGGTTCGATGGGCCGAATCTCTCTCGGCCCATCTCCCCCTCCCTCCCCGGCGCCCTCTCTCTCTCTTTCTCTCCCTCCCCCTCCGCTCCGCCCGCGCGCCGCGCGCGCGTGCGCGAGAGCCGCGCCGAGCGCTCCCCCCTCCGCTCTGCCCGCGCGCGTGCGCGTGAGCCGCTCGCGCCGAGCGCCCTCCCTTCCCCTCGCTCTCCTTCTCCCCGCCTCCATCCCTGGAGAGCTCCCCGCCCGCGGAATCGGCCCCGCGCGTTGTTGTTCGCGCGTGCGTCCACGTGGTCGTCGCCCGCGTCGCGCCTGCGCCGTCTGCGCCGCCCGGCCCCGCTGCCCTGCCGCTCCTGCAGCCGCGCAGCCGCTCGGCCCCGCAAGCCAGCGCGCGTGCCCGAGCTGTGCCGCTCAAACCGCCGCGCCTCCCGTTGCAACCGCGCGCGCGTGCCGTGGTGGCCGACCGCCTGGTCGCCGCCGCCGTCAGCCTCTGCCGTGCCTGCCCGCGCCTGCCGCCCGTGTCGTCGCCCCGCTCCAAACCGCCCCGCCGTCATCGCCGTCGTCATCGCCCGGCCCCCGCCACTCCGCGCGCAAGCTGCCAAGGGACGGAGGCAGAGCTCCTCCTCCCTCTGCCGAGTCGCCCCCGCTCCCTCCTCCTTTTCCCAAAGAGGCAAGGGGACAAGCCCCCTTTTATCTCCCTCTTTTCCCCTTTTTCCTCCCGCCGGCGTCATCCTCCTCCCTCCTCCCTGTCGCCGCTTTGGCCGCGACCGCCGAACGCTAGCCCTCTCCTTTGACCGCCCTAAGTCGGTTCCCAAACTGACATTGCCATCCTATAAACCCAAGCTTCCCTCTTTTCCTTTCCTCTCCCATTCGCCTCCACGCCATTGCCGCCGCCTCCCGTGCTCTGTTCGCCGTCGCCGTTCGTCGTTGCGCGTGTCGGAGGAGCCGGCACGAGCAAGGACGCGGAAGGGGACTCCGAGCGCGCCCTCTCCTTCCTCTTCCCCGGCCCGAGGCCGGAGAGATTACTCCCGCGCCGTCGGCCTCTCGTCACTGCGCCCGCCCGCACGGTAGTGCATCTCCCCGTTCTCCCTCCTCGCTCCATCTCCTCCCCTTAGACTCGGGTAGTAGCACGAGTAGCCTCCCCGTAGCTAGCCGGCGTCACCCCGACCGTTGCCGCCGCTCGCCGTGTGCTCGCCGTCGTCGTCGCCCGAGCTCGGAAGCGCCGCTCGTCGCCGGCCTCGCTCGGCGCAGCTCCGCCCAATCCAACGCTAGCATCAGATTCCCGTAGCCGCGTAGATAATCTCGCCGCCGGGAATTGGCCCCTCGTGACCTCGTCGCCGTTTCCCCCTTCTCCCGCCGCCGGTTGCCGCCGCCGCAATTCGCCGCCGTCGGGCATCCTCTGGCGAATCCGAGCCGTTGGCTCGTCTCCCCTCGTCCTATGCAACCACCCGGTGTGCTCGCTTTCGCCTGTATCGCCATGGTTCGCTCCGCCGCTCGCCGCTGTCGTCCGCCGTCCGTTCCGGCCGGCGTCGTCGTCGACCTCCCGCCGGCCCGCGTGGCAGCCACGTAGGCGCCACGTCGGCGCCAGCTCGGCCAAAACCGGGTCGAGTCGACCCCGGTTAGCCGCTCCCTCCCCGTGCGCGCGGTCCACCGCGAACCGTGAGGCTGCGCGTGGGCCCACCGCATCCGCGTCCTCCACGAACCGCGCGCGTGCACCGCGTCTCTCCCCCATCCTAGCGCCGCGCCGCGTGCTCTCTCCGCACGGTGAGCCGAGCCGCTGACAAGCGGGTCCCACTCGGGACCACGCGAGGTGAGCCCGGTCCACCGGCTCTCTCTCTCCTCCCCTCCCGCGCGCGCGTGCCTTGGGCCGGCCGGCCCATTTAGCTCGGCCGAGCCGCCCCTTTTCTCTCGGGCCGCGCCCTAGCCGCCCGAGGGAAGTCTAATTTCCCTCCCTCTTTTCTTTTCTTTTCTTTTTCAAAAAGGATTTAATTAAGTCCTTTTCCTGTAGACCAAAAATCCAATAATCTTAGAAATTCAATATCTTCCCAACCGTAAATCCGTTTGACTCCGTTCAACTTCCAAAATCCCTCAAATCTCGAGATCTATCTAATGGCACGCTTAGAGGTCATTAATAGGGCTTTATTTTCGCCGTTTGTTGAGTTGTCCCGTTTTGCGCGTAGTTTCGGAGCCCGAAGACCCGCAGTGCGAGGATTTCGAGGATCAAGCTCCAGATCTCGAGCAAGGCAAGCCACCTTTGAACATCTTGAGCTTATATTTGAATTTAATTATGTTGCTTGAAAAATATTATGCATTGATAGGATCGCACTTAATCTGTTTGTCCCGTCTGCAAGGCAGATTGGCGGACCTACCTAGTTTGTTGCATTTGATCCTTCCTTTGTTAATTGTTATACCATGTTCCCTTGTAACCACCCAGTTGCGCCTCGGAAATCGTGCACTCTGCACGAGTATCGACGGTCGCCTTCAAACTTAAAATCTGAAAAACTTCTTAGGTAAAACTTGGGTTTTACAAAAGACTTGGAAAACCCGACACCTGGGTCGGTGCTTGCGAACTAAATGAATTTTCCAAAACCGCGGACCGGGGAACGTACCGGGTGTACGGTTTCCCGCTCTTGCACTTAAGGACCGTTTTCTTGGAATTTCATCCAAACATAAGACAAGTACGACCACATGGGTGGAATGGGACACCCCTGGCTGAGTAACTAGCTTATCAGGGGAGCCTTGATGCCGAGAGACATGTGGATTCGCCGGGGTGGTGTCGGGGAGGACCCCTGGGTTTCCTGGCACAGTATGGTCTGGGACCTAACCTGTTGTTGGTCTGGGACCCCTCTCGTCGGCATATGGTAAACCTGTGTCGGCTTTGGAAATGCCTTGTCATGAAAGCTTGGAGGTCTCCCGACGTGGCTGATCCCCACGGGCTGGGTGATCCGGGTTAGTAATGTCGTGTGGATAAAGTGTACCCCCTCTGCAGAGGTTAACAAACTGTTCGAACAGCCGTGCCCACGGTCATGGGTGGATGTGAGGTGATTCCTAGCGTAGTTTTGTTTGACTACTGCTTGTGAAATTGCTGTTGTGGAAAGGGGTTCGATGTTTGAAAAATCTGCAGCTGATGGGATCAGCTAGGCCCGGGTGGCCATTTGAAAGTTGTTGGCCCGGGTGGCCGTTTGAAAGTTGTTGGTCGGGTGCCAATCTTGATCAATTCTAAAGACTGATACATTTGCACATACTCCGACCGGACAAGACGCACTGTCTCATCCATGTCGTTTGAGAAGCACTCACTTAGTTGCTTTCAGAAAAGAGTTCAAATAAAATCAATTGCAAAAACAACAGCCTTTCCTTGAAGCCTGCATTAAACACTTATTTCCCATGGCTTGCTGAGTACTCCCGTACTCACCCTTGCTCTATATAAATAATCTCCCCCCCAGTTGCTGAAGAAGATGAAGCGGATCCCGCTGACGAGGAGTTCTTTCAGGAGCAAGCCGGCTACGATGAGTTTTAGGGTTTCGGCCTAGTTCCCAAGTCGCGCCTGTGTTGTTTGGTCCAAGTCCTGGCTTCCGCTTCCCTTTTGTAATGCAGTTGTGAGCTCGGGATCTGTCCGCAGCCCGACTTGATTGTACTCCTACTCTATAATAAAGAGACCTCTATTGCTGTGATATTCTGTCTTCCTGTGATACCAGCACTGTTTCCTGGGACTGGTATCGATTAATAGGTTAATTTGGAGCGTCACGGGCTAGTTCCGGTCGGTACTAGTTCTGGGCGTGACAACATTCCATAATAGATGACACGAGTTCATCTTTTACCATCTATCTTTTTCAGTGTTCTCCTTTTCCGGTATTTATCTAAACGTGCATCATAACTTTTTCATAGAGGAAGCACACACAACTCAACAAAAGCTATAAATTGCTCCTAAGCATAATTTAACACACGATCAATTCATCCAAAAATAGATCTCACACTGGATTGAGAACATCGTTCAAAAAAAAAACTCAACCAAGACACACCAATCATATTTTACAGGGTTGTACCGTTTGATACGATCGTCGTTCCATAATAAACGGCATCAGTTTCTCTCTTACCACACCTCGTTTGAGTTTATCTCTTACCACCCCCTCGTTTTTTTTCACTGTTCTCCTCTCCAACAATGGAATAACGGTGAAACAAAACCGCTCTCTGCATTTCTGCAAACAGTACAATTGCTTAACCCGTGGTACCAGCCGTTTTTTAGTCTTGTTACAAAAATTCAAAAGAAGCCGTAACGTTTTACATGAGGCGCGAATTGAAAGAGGCGCAAACCAGGGGCCGTGCTGCCGTGCGTGCGTGCGTGCCCTGCCCCCCAACTTGACAAGTGGATGGAGGGAAGGGGGACAACCCCGGTCGACATGCGAGCGGATGGGGAAAGCGGGCCGCACCACCCCCCACCACCCGATCCATGGGCAGACGCAGCAAAAAAAACATCACGAATTCACGCACGCACACGCATCCACAGCTCGACCGTTCTCCCAGTCCCCTCCCCCACCCCCACCCCGTCGCTGTCGTCTCTCGCCACCGCATACCGCCCACCCAACCCAACCTCAAAAATCACGTGTTCTTCGTGCCCAACCGCACCGCACGTCGTCCGTCCCCACCCCAACCTGCCCCCCTCCCTCTCCGCTGAAAAAATAAGTCGCGAAAACCCCAAGACTCTGCTGCTTCCTCCTCCTTCCCCAACTTGCCTCCAATTCCAAGTTCCAACCCTCCACCTCCCTATATAACACAGCTCTTCCCACCCCGTCAAATCCCACGACTCAAAACCACCAAAACTCACCAAGCAAAGCACCAGCGAGGAAGAACAAGAAGGAAGGTGAAGAGAAGCCGCGTTTTGTTTCTCGCGAAAGTGTTTGTTGATATGGCGATGGAGGGGAAGAGCAGGAGGTTCGCGGTGGCGTGCGGGGTGCTCAGCCAGTACGTGAGGGCGGAGCAGAAGATGGCGGCGGCGGCGGGGGCGGCACCGGCGAGGGCGGTGACGACGCTGAGCCTGATGCCTGGGGCGGAGGTGGTCGTCGAGGAGGAGGAGCGGAGGGAGGTTGGGGAGGAGGAGGCGGGGCCAGCGACGGCGCCGGCCGCGCCGCTGACCATCTTCTACGGTGGGAGGATGGTCGTCTTCGAGGACTTCCCCGCGGACAAGGCGGCGGAGGTGATGCGCATGGCCTCCTCCGGGATGGCGGCGGCGCCGGCTCAGCGGGAGGGCGCCGCGCTCGCGGACATGCCCATCATGAGGAAGGCGTCGCTGCAGCGGTTCTTCGCCAAGCGCAAGGACCGCCTCGCGGCGACCACCCCCTACGCCCGCCCGTCGCCGGCGGAGACCAAGGCCTCCGAGCCGGAGGAGAAGAAGACGCCCACCTCATGGCTGGACCTCGCCGCCTCCGCCTCCGCCGCCGCGCGCCGTGACAGCCTCACCATCGCGCTGTGATCTGCGCGGCTTTGACCAAAAACGACTTAAGACGCGCGCGCGCTCTCAGCGCGCAAGAGGATTGATTCACTTTGCTCATACCCATGGCGACGTAGAGTTTTTACCGCTTTTGCTATACTTCTTTGTAAAATTCGATAGGGAGATTGAATTGATGGGAAACCCCTTGTGCCTGTTCTTTTTTGTCCCACTGTATCAAATATTCTTTCCTGTGCAAATTAAGCCAACTTTTTAGTTGTTACCTCAACAAAAAAAATTATCTCTCTCCCGGTTAATTTTTCAACTAGCAAAATAATTCCAAAAGAATTACCACTGAATTACTCCAGATCAAGCAACACACACCAAAAAAATTAATTAGGCTTGGTATGAAAGTAAAGAAGCCACACGTGATGAAACGGGGCACAGCATGTGGCGGGAGGATTGCGTACGCGTCAATACACGCGACACTGTGTGGATTGGAATCGGGAGCAAGCTAATCGCTTCTTCTCCTCGTCCACATTTAGGCGTATGGCCCGCCCAATCGCGCGTGCTGAAAATTCACGTGGCCAGATAGCGAGTCGTCTCGACGACCTGCTGCGCGGGGTCGGTTCCGACCACGTTTCTTTCGCCTCGAGATCGACGGATCATCTAACCGATTTGAACGCAAATTTTTTATAATTTTGGCCTTCTTAGAGCAGGTACAATAACATACTATAAGCCAGCTGCAAATATATTTTAATAAGATAAATGAGGAGAGAGAAAAACAGCGGACTACAGATTTATAGCCAGCTGTAGCACAGACTCCAAAACACACTATGTGCATGATATGTGGGACCAGATATTAATAATGTAATATGTAACTAGTTAGCTATATATACTATTAAACTTGCTCTTATACATACGAATTGCTTTTACTTTCTTGATGTGCTTTGCCGACACGAGTTACGTGCCATCATGTTTGGGATTTTTTTTATAGTGGGGAAAGATGATTACATGCCGAACTTAATTTAGTACTAGTACAGTAGTACATCATTGAACGTTATTTGGATGTGAACATTTTTATGTTTCGTTTCACATGTAGGAGTAGGTTAGTTTGAACGTTCTGGCAGGGGCTAATTGATGTTGGATGGGTCATGTTTGGTTTTTTTAGATAAGGAAAGTATTCCTTGAACTTTATACCATTGAACTCTACTTGGACGTATAAATATTTTTATGGATTGTTTGATTCGACTCCAAAACTTGCCCTACCGAATCATTGATAACTACAAAGGTAATAACTCTTATGTATTTGGATTGCAACCAAACATGTGCCAAATAAATATAGTCGAGGAATCTTATCCTACAAAAACGAGAGTACCGATTCCTGCCTCGTGCAAGAAATTTGAACATTCCAACAGGGATAATGGCGCCGCACACATAAAATCTTCTCATGAATCAATTCTGGTTGAAACGAACCGCTGCTACAATAGAAAAAAAAGAAGATTATGGTTTACTAAAGGCATGCAATGATGATTAGTACTTTGTGTCTGATGGATCATTGTCATGATTTATTTCGAAGCAAACGAATTAGCTCTGCCGCCATGAGTAGTACTACTATCAGGTACTGTTAATAGTGGCATTGTCCAATTTCTGCACTGAAAACAACCCATAAAAGGTTAGACAGCGCCACTGATACACACTTAGAAGTCAAGATTGGATCTTGCCTGCCAGAAAAACACGGCGGTTAGGGGGCAAAGAAATCAGAATTAACCCCCAAAAAAAATGTCAAACTAGGCAGCATGCCTAACTAGACACGGTCGCCTGCACGGATTCACTTTAATGATGATCAAAATCTCTCTGCAAATCTTCAGAGATCGATCGAGACATAATAAAAACACAGGTGGTGCATGTTTCGTCCACAAGGAGCACTGTATGTGGAGGAGTAATTAAGTGTTATTTGTTCTTCGTGAAACACAAACCAAAGTCAAACCCATGCGTCCTTAAACAATTAATTAAACTACTCAGACTAATAATACTACTACTAGCAGCCGATGGAGAGCTAGCCAAGGCCAAGGCGACGACTGCAAAGTCAAAACGCTTCTGAAGAATATGTGCAGGCTAATGCTTGCAGCTTGCTTCCTTCCAAGTTCAGATCAGCTTCCTGCAAGAAATATGCATGCATGTGTGCCACCATTTGGACCTGGTCAGTGAGACACAGGCACAGCAGCAGGAGATAGTAGAAACTTAATTCGAGATAGTCGAAACTTAATTTGCTCGTGCTTCCTGCAAGGAAGCAAAGATGTTTTCTTCCTTATTTGAAAGATCAACAGGTGAGAATTCAACGACTGATGTTAGAAAAAACGATGACTTCAGCTAGACAGCTGCTGTACGGTTGTTTATTAATCTGGGCGATGGCCCTGATGAATTTTCGTCTCTGAGAATAGTACTGGTACGTGCTCCATCAATTTCATATTGTAAATCATTTTAACTTTTTTTTCTATTTATTCTTTTTAAGTTTAACTAAATTTATAGAATAATATAGCAACATTTTCAACACAAAATAAATATATTATCAAAATATATTCAATGTTACATCTAATGAAACTAATTTTGGTGCTATATATGTTATCAAATTTTCCTATAAACTTAATCAAACCTAAATAAATTTGATTAGATCAAGAAAAGATTAAAATAATTTATTATATGAAACGGAGTTAGTAGTATACTGCTCCAAATACGTGACAAAACTGACACTGTAATCCAGTAGGGCCGAGGGAAAATATCTAGCAGCTGAAACACCTCTTGTTGGTTTCGGTACCAGCCTGAGACTGCTAGTTGGGTTGCAAAATTGCAATCAACTTTAGGTGGCGCTAGCTGTGTCATGTGTGCGCGCGAGAGAGAGACTCAGAGACCAATTACAATTACAGCATGTGCAATAGGGAAAGATCGGTATGGCTCGGGTCTGGGTGCTTTCCCTTTCTTCCGACAGATAATTTTCAGCCACAGTTGCAGTTTTTTGCCGAGAGATCGAAGCAACCGGCCGGCCACTATCTCTCCCTCTCCATCTCCCTACCTTTCGTCTGGAAAAGGATGGATTTGCACGGTGACTCGGCCGTGCCGAGCCAGACGAGACGCGAGTACGCGTTACGCCGGTCGCCGCGCTCGCCTCTGCCTCAGCATTTGCCCGTTGCCTCGTTGCTGTTCGCACCAAGGCTAAGTTTAGTTCCAAAATTTTTCTTCCAATTTTTCTATCACATCAAAACTTTTCTACACACAAACTTCTAACTTTTCCGTCACATTGTTTCAATTTCAACCAAACTTTTAATTTTAACATGAACTAAACACACCCCAATACTACCCTTTCTCCGGTCAAAAACAAGCATCGCACGGTGATGACGGGAAACGGCGGCAGGTTTCCTTGGACGATAGGTTGCCGGCACACCGCGATGTACTTCTTCTGTCTTAAAAAAGACAATTTTTATACACGTATTCAGAGAAACAAGTGGTAGGAGAGTAGCGTGGCAAAGCACAGCGAAATATTAAAGCTAGCGAGAGCTCAAAACAAACGTTTCTGTTCGAAGTCACAGTTGTACGCACATGTTTTAATTTAGCACGGATGAGGGGAGTCCCTTTAACATGTCTTGATCATCTCGGCATCTTCTGCTACATGGTGGACAATAGTGTCGTTGTCCATGGGTCACAAGGGTCATATGTATGTGATATGTCCCCCATAAAAGGAAAATTGAAGGAATGGTGGAATTTGGTTATATTACGGGTCTCATGGTTATCGATATTACCTAATAAGTCCAAACGGCTTATTCAGAATAAAAACTAATATATAGGTAAAACTTTTATATATTTGTTCGTATCGATTTAAAAAAGCCAAAAAAATATGCTAAAAATATCTTAAAATTAACTCAAAAATTTAAGTTAAAAAAATGGTTTTTCCTTTGACTTATTAGGCCAACCGACGGGACTCTAGGCTTAATAGAAATTATAGAAATTATAGGTTTGTTTGACTGTACTTCCTATGGCTCTGTTCGTATGTCAAGGTTCTCAACTCCTACTTCTCGTTTTTCGCGCGCACGTTTTTCAAACTGTTAAACGGTGTATTTTTTGTAAAAAAAATTATATACAAAAGTTGCTTAAAAATCATATTGATCTATTTTCTTTTAAAAAAATAATTAATTAATCACATACTAATAGACTGCTATGTTTTCCGTGCCGGAGGGATGGGTTCTCAGCCCAGGCAAACGAACAGAGCCATGCCTGCAACTCAACTAGCCCATACAGTGACTTGTGTCAGCAACAACGGCTGCATTGGCTGCGGAACGACGGCCATCATGTAGCCGAACACGGGTTAGGGTACATTTGGTTTTGTGTTAGAATAGATCTTACCAAATGTTTTGGTATTAGTGTGAAGAGAGACATGGTGCGAATGCTTTTGGAGCTACTGAATTTTGGAATGGTTGTTCGTTTGTGTTTCTTTGCAGCTGGCTGTGGGTGCGGCCGTGCGGGTGTGCTGTATTACAGTGCAGGCAGTAAAAATTATGTTGGGTTTGGTGGTGTTGTTGCGGCTGCACAGTTGCAGCAATCTCTTCGGATCAACCCCAAAGTGTTTAAGCAATATTTAGTTTGTTTCTTTACTAATTATTTTTGCTAGGAATTTCTTTACTAAAGTTTGATAATACTGAAATATTACACCGATACTCTCTTTCAGACAAAGGCATGATCCAGAATTAACTTCTAGCTACTGATGTAGGTAGACATGGCTCTTCTAGCTACTGATATTGCTTTGGTAAAACTGCACAGAGGAACAATTATCAATTATTGGGCTATGTTTTCTTTCCTTTTCAGAAGTCACAGACCATTCTTGTATCGAAATGGCAGCCCAAAATAAGACTGGGCTAGATTTGTAGGGAAACGGAAATCTCTTCCTGTTACCAGTAATAGGTTATATTTTAAGCACAAATATAAACTTTTAACTGAAAAATTTTAAGCAAGAGATAGAAACTCTTTTTTTTATTATACGGTAAACACATAGGAGCACTCAACATTACACACACAACATCACACTCACACCCCACGAATGTGCTCCATAACGCACTCTAATAGATGGAAACTAACGACATATCTCTAATCTCGCTAAAATTCTCGGCCTCGTCTTTTCGTTTATGCTTATACTTATCAGCCAAAATTTGAATTTTCAATCTTAAATCTGGAGTTGATTTTGGGGTTTTTTTTCATAAGTATTTACTTTTAGATCGCTAAGAACACGTATATAAAAGTTTTATCCAC